TCTTTTAAAGCACGTTGGGATTGGAGTTCTACTGTGGAAAGCAATGCAGACTCTGCGGTTCCAAAATTACACAGTGACCTTAATTAGAAGGTGTAATTTTAAGCTTTGTGTGGTGCTTTTGAAAACCTGAAAAACCCAAATCTCTAAGTACCTAGCAACTGGTAGAATACTGAAAACTTGAGGGAAGTGAGATTTATGGTGGTGGATGAGATACACCCAAACACCAAATGTCTAATTGTCACAGGGAACCGTTTATTAGAAACATTTATCTGTATCCCCTGTCAAACCACATAGACATAAATTCTATAAAAAGAGTTGGATGCTCTCCCACTGAAGTGCTCTTCCACTCTTCTGCACTTCTCTTTCTATATTTTATCTTGCCAGAATGGATGAAAATCATTGAAAAAATAATATATAAATCAAAGCAAGAGATGTCCTGAAAGGTGACCTATGGTTTCAGGGAACAGCTCTACCTGCAGACCAGCAGTGCTTTCTGGTTTCATCACGGATAACTGTTATTTGAATGTGCTTTTTCAGCCATTCAGACACCTGAGTGACAGAATCATAGAATCATTAAGGTTGGAGATGACCTCTAAAGTCATTGAGTCCAACCCTCCGCTTACTGTCAGTGGTGCCTGCTAACTGATTTCATTTAATCCATTGATTTTAATCACTTTTAAAAAGTGATATCATATGAGATCATAGCATTATTTCACGGAGGATGAAGTATCTAATTTATCTCCTATTAGCCCTGAAAAAAAAAAAAGCAGCTATCCATAAAAGCAGCTACAGCACCTATCAAGAATAAATTATCACCTTATTGCCCCCGAGTTCTTATAATTCAATTTCTCCTTGCATCTTTCCAAGAATTAGTTAAATTAGTCTATAATTCCCTGGAAGATTCCTTTCTATACCTTATTCTTGTGATATATTTTCCCTATATCAAGATTAGCATTATTATTTGCTGTCCCTCATTACTGGGGTGAGGTTTAAAATCCACATCTTAAATGCCAGTACAGCCTCTGCAATTAACCACCCGGATTATAATGTGATTATCATCCGGGTGTTGATTTCTGCCTGGCCATGGCTGTCAGCCAAATGTCATAATGCACACAATTAGCAGATTTACTCCCTGGCTTACTGATAACAATGGAAGCACAAATAATTCATAGGCAGAGGCATCGCTGCTTTGATGTGATTGAACTCTGATCCGCTCAGCACCTGAAGGGATGCAGGCTGAAGAAGGGTAGCCTCATTAAAGTGGAGAATAATGAAAACAAGGCGAGGAAGAAGAGGAGGAGGCAGGGATGACCCATGCTGGGCGCTGTGACCTCTTTGGGGCTGGGTCCTGCAGCTCCCAGCCTCCTGCCATGGCACAGGAACATGCAAATTCCCGGGGACATGCGGAGAGGCAGGGAAAACCCATGTCCCAGACTGAAATAATGTCTCTAATTACAAGGCTGCCTTTTTTTTTTTTTCCTGGGGTTAAGGGAAATTCCTGATGAGATGTTTCCATCTGGTTTGCAGTCCCTTTGCGCTGGGGCAGTTCAAAGAGGCTGCAATGTAACTGAGAATTGAGGACAGCGTTTATTTATAGTTGGATCATAAAAGCTGTAGAGCTGAGCTCACAGCAGTGCACTTATTTATGTTTTAAGCAGCACCCCGCTGCTGGTAAAACACGTGCTGTAGCTCTGGTGTAACATTAAGTGTGGCTCTTTGTAAGGTTCGTGACGCAAAGGTTAAAAAAAAGTGAAATTAAACTAACAAAACAGCTAACGTGTAAATAAAAGTATTAGCCAGAAGTGGAGGAAAATTAACAGTGTGGCTCTGAGATGAAGTAACATCAATGGAAGATTTGTACCTGAATCCATTTTTCACTGTACAAGAAAGAAATACCCTGAAATTCTGATTCTAGTTCCTGGTACCATTACAAAGGATTTGAGGCTTGTCTGGGGGCTTTATAATGACAGCCCAGCCTCTGGCACCATATCAGTACAGTGTCTCACTGCAAATTGTGTTTGTATCACATTTATCCTTTCTTCTAATATCAGTGTACCTTCTTTTTCCTCTGTAACCCAGAGGGGAAAGCAAAGCAGCTCCATTTCATTATTACCCTTTAATAGTCTTTCCAGTGATACATGGGAGAATGTTAATATCCTTCCAATGACCTCACCTAAACACTGCTAAAAGCTAGGAAAGGAGTGACAAGTTTGTAGCTAATGTAGGGGATGAAATTCTGGTTAATGAAAGGATTTACAGAATCGTTTGGGATGGAAGAGACCTGTAAAGGCCATCTGGTCCAACTTGAGTGATGGGTATAGGCTATCTCCATCACTGCAGGAGGAAAGGAACAGACTCTTTAGAGGGTCTGTTGTGGTAGGATGAGGGGAAATGGTTTCAAATGAGAAGAGGGAAGATTTAGACTAGATATAAGGAAGGAGGTTTGTACTATAAGGATAGTGAGGCACAGGCTGCCCGGAGAGCTGGTGGGTGCCCTGTCAATGGAGACAGCCAAGGCCAGGCTGGTGGGGCTCTGAGCACCTGATGGAGCTGTGGGTTTCCCTGTTCATTGCAGGTGGGCTGGACCAGATGACTTTTAAGAGTCCCTTCTAATTGAAATGATTCTATGATTTTTATGATCACGTAACTAGTACTCAGAATGGTATGGGAACAGTCAACTGTGCTGTACTGCTCACACCTTAGAAAGAGATGGCTGTGAGCATTCGCTGTTGAATATCCAAATCACTTCTAAATGAGCACATGGAATTTGCAAATCTGCTGAACTGTGTAATCAAAGACAGTGTTACTCTTAAGAATGCTAAATTAATGGTGAAAGAAAACTTCAAGGTGGCCAGCAAAGGAAATGAAGTCATAACTCAGTTCTACACATGCTTCCTGATATGTATAAAAGTCTGGAAAAGATGGTGATGATTAATCATCTCACTTGTTCTTCACAATGGAAATGCACATTTTGTCCATTACAGAGAAGGTAGGGGATGTGTGAAGTTACGGCATCAAAAAGAGAAAGGAGGGAAGTTGATCATTTTGGAGAAAGAAGCTTGGTTATTTCAGATTGTTGAACTTGATTGAGGCCTTATTTGTAGTGAACACTTTCATCAAGCTGGAGAACAAGCAGCCCCGTGAATGGCAGTACAGCTTAGCTGCTTGAGATACGTGTACTCATAGCATGATCTTTCAGTCGTGGATTAGTTCCTTTATCAAAGCGCAGTGAAAACCAAACAGTATAAAGTAATAAAATAGCTAGAGGGGAAAACAACAATTGGTCATCTAATTACCACAAAGGATTAAGAAAAGAACATCTGTTTCAAAAAAGGCTTTTGTTGAATGTTAAGACTGTTCCATAGGCAGATGAAAAACTAAGACCTAAGGTTTCTTGAATTTCATTTTAGTGTAAAAGGAAAAAAAAAAACCTACGTTCAACATCACTTTATTTTTTGCGCAAAATTTATTATCTGTTATTGATTTTAGATATTACCGTAAGAGCTCAGAGCTTGGCCCACGTTCAGATTGTGAAATTAATATTCTGTCTTCCAAATTCATTTTTAAAAATCTGATAATAACCCAGATTCATGTCTCAGATGTGTTGCTTCTAGTTCCAAATTTAGAATATGGAAAGAATTGATAAAAATCAAGGAAATGTGAGTCTTCAAGCATGCCTAGCTTTTAATTTAGCACTCAAAGTGAAGAATCTATTTAATTTGCTAAAATAGAATGATGACCACTTCCAAAAACAACTGGACAGCTAAAAGAGTAGGACTGAAATTTACCATATAGCTGCAGTTATCCTCTTCCTCTTTGGAAATAACTGTAATATTTAAATTCTCTTGGTCTAATTCTGTAGAAAAATCAGATGTCAAAGAATTTCATATAATCGTTTTCTATGTTGATTCAGACTTCTTTAATGAACCAGACTATTTTATGCTTTCCAGATAAGAGAAAGCAAGCTCAATTTGTTGTACCAGATCCTGATACTGCAAATTTTAAGCTGGTGAGGAATGTTACTCATTTGAGTAGTCTCATTAAGCAATTCATACCATTCTACAAATGTGTTTCAAACATGGTTATATCATAGCTTTAGGACTTGTCTGGGCATCAGTGATTCATGGCATGATTCCTTAATGCATTTCTGCCACAGAACTGTCTCATTACCACATTAGAGGCAAAAACTGTGAGGGACTGATATCCCTCAAGTGATGGGTAGGCTTTATTCTCCTATTGACAGCTTTTCCACTGCACCTCACATTCTGGCTAATCTGAAAGCTCACGAGGTTCACTGGAGGGCCCTGAATCCTTCTACAGTTTGGCAGGGAACTGGGTTGCACCAGTGACTTTATTTCCCACTGCCTTGCAGGGGTGTAAATCTCTGTAAAAAATAATGAGAGAAGCAAGTCTGATGTTCTTTTTTTTTTTTTTAGTCTTCAAGACTTTCACAAGTCCCTCTCTAGACAAAACTCCTAGTTTGAATGGATCTGTGAACGCTGAAAAGGCACTGCTCCATCCCACTGCCCAACCTAAGGGAGAAGGTGAGAATACAGGGTATTTCAGCATTGAACTAATTTCCTTTGGGTGCACGTGAAAGGCAAAACTTGAATATCCCAGTGAGTTACAGCCCGACCTTGAGTTTATTAAAGTCAGTGGAGATCTTTCACTTGATTTTAATAAAAGAGGAAAAGGAAAAGAGGGAGAAGGTGGCTGGAAAAGATCATTTTGAAGGGAAATTTTCTTTGATTAATCACAAAACTCTTGGAGGTATTGAATATTAAATGGAATATTAATGATCATTTGGAGTGTTGATTATTTTTTTCAAGTCCTGGAGATCTTCATCACGAGTTCTTAGAATAATTTTACATATTATTCATATATTACTAGTTTATGGCACCCTCTACAGAATGATTTATCTTTAGAAATGATCAGCAATATTAAAATTTGCCTAGTGATTTCTTCTTATTAAACCATATTACCCTTCTATCTCTAGAAACATTCTGGATGAAGACCTTAAATTCCAAGGAGATATAAAAAGAGAAAGTTTGGCAATTAAGCATGGATCATAGGACTGAGGAGAAAAGAAAGCAACGCCATAGCTTGACTTTACTGGAACAAGTAAAAAGAATGAAAGAATCATCAGAGATAGTTGATGTTGTGCTGGTTGCCGAAGGTGAGAAATTTCCCTGCCATAAGGTGGTACTAGCTGCCTTCAGTTCTTACTTCAAAGCCATGTTTACCTGTGGCTTGGTTGAATGCACTCAAAGAGAAGTGGTGCTGTATGACATCTCAGCAGAGAGTGTGTCTGTAATACTCAATTACATGTACAGCGCGGATTTGCACCTCACTAACCAGAACGTGCAGACTGTCGCTCTGGCTTCGTATTTCATGCAGATGGAAGATGTTTTCAGCTTGTGTCAAAAGTACATGATGGACCACATGGATGCTTCCAATTGCGTGGGCATCTACTACTTTGCAAACCACATTGGAGCAGAAGATTTATGCGATCAAGCGAAGAGGTACTTATATCAGCACTTTGCTGAGGTGAGCTTACAGGAAGAAATACTGGAGATTGAAGTCCAGCAGCTGTTGACTCTTATAAAATCAGATGATCTGAATGTTTCCAGAGAGGAAAGCATTCTGGACCTTGTCATTAGATGGGTGAATCACAGCAGAAAGTCGCGTGCGGAACATCTTATCAAGCTCTTGAAGGAAGTGAGACTGGTACTGGTCAGCCCTTCCTTTCTCATGGAAGCCCGCAAAAGGAACACAGTGATTCTGTGCAATTCAGAATGCAATGATATGTTTGAGGAAGCGTTGAAAAGCATCAAACTAGCCACCCACCCTTCTCTCAGCTTGCGATATGGCATGGAGACTACTGATCTCTTACTCTGCATCGGCAACAATTCGCTTGGCATTAGGTCAAGACATGGGAGCTATGCAGATGCCAGTTTTTGCTACGCTCCTGCAACACAAAAGACTTACTTCATTTCCTCTCCAAAGTATGGAGAGGGCTTAGGAAGTGTTTGCAGTGGTGTTGTCACTGAGAATAATGATATTATTGTGGCAGGAGAGGCAAGCGCCGCCAAAATGTCTAGACAAAAAAACAGGAACATTGAAATTTATAGGTGTGTACCCTGTCAAAAACTCCCTGATTATTTACAAATTTGAAGTCCAAAAAATGTTTCTGAGATCAAGAAAAGACCATTACACAAAGCGTTATTTACCTGAGAGCTGTCCCAGGGATTTCGGCTACTCTAATAGGTTTGTCACAATTGATCTTCACGGTACAAGGAATTATATATTTAAAACCAAATCCTTGTGCTTTTTCTCCTGAAAGAAGAAGGGTTTACCACAGTGGAATCTTTGTGTAAATAAGCTTGATTAGATCCTGCTTTGTTGTATGTGGATTCTATATTCTCCCAGTACAAAGCTCCACGTTTTACTAGGTCTGTTGAGGTCTGTTGTGGGGGTAAACGTGTCAAGTGAACAACCTAAGGAATCCAGTAGAGCAGAGGTAACAGTCTTATCTGAGAAATCCATTTTGATGCTCAGAGATGAAAAGATAGACTGATAATTTAAATCTCATTCTATTTTACTCAAGTCTTTTTCAGATGAGCCCATTTTAAAGACAGCCATGGCTTTTCTGGGTTAAAGTCAATTAAAAGTAACTTTTTTTTTTTCAAATGCAGGTACCTGAATTTAAAGAAGTAAATCCCTAGAGGTCAGATAAAGTAGTAGCTCTATTTTCGGCTGTGCTGATCTGTTGCTCTTCCCATTAACTTCAGTGGGGATCAGTTACTGAACAGCACATGCAGGAAAAAAGGGACTCCTTACCTTGATAAGCATCAAATACTTTGAAAGAATGCTTAAAATAGGGATCCCTAATACTAAAAATGCTTGATCTTGCAAACAATGAGGCCAATTGTATAAACTCTCAATGAAGGAGAAAGTTCCTCTTGTCATCGCATCACTGAATAAGCACTGAAGATGAAGGGGATAACACTGATAAACAATCATATGAGACCACACTGAACCATGGCATTTACAGCTCTGAATTTCCCTACAGATACCACCAGCGAGGAAATCAGTTTTGGCACAGCCTGTGCACCGCTCAGTTCCGTGAACTCTATGCACTGGGCACTGTCCATAATGATCTCTATGTGATTGGAGGGCAAATGAAAAGCAAAAATCAATATGTGGTCACAAACTGCATGGAGAAGTACTCCATGGAGCAAGGTACCTGGAGAACCACAGCACCTCTGCCAGTGCCATTAGCCTGCCATGCAGTGGTGACAATGAAGAACAAGCTCTATGTGCTGGGTGGCTGGACACCACAGGTTGAGAAAAGTGCCAATCGTGTTTCAGGAAAATGATTGCTTTTTATGTTGTGCAATTTTATGGTGCTGCTTGCATGGGAAAATAAATTGCTCACGTTGTTTGACATCTTTTCTAGGAAAGCCAAACAGAGTAAAGAGGAATAATATCCACATTAAGTCATCCTCTCTGAAAATACCAACTTCAAGAAAGGCAGTTCATTCCTGAAGACGTGCTCAGTGAGCAAGATTTTAAAAAGATTGTTTAAAAACAACAAGAAGCAGCAAACAAATAACACCCCCTCCCTATCACCCCCCCCACCAAAAAAACAAACAAACAAAAACAGCCAAAAACAAAACCAACACTTCCTTATATCCTGTCTAAATCTCCACTCGTTTAGTTTGAAGCCATTTCCCCTTGTCCTACCAAATGCCTATTTGGCATTTTTTTTTTGTCATTACAAACTGAAAAATTGATTAACTTCAGTCTTTCCTCTTCCTATACATTGCCCTTTTAATTTTGCTGACTATCAATAAGTAATGTTCTTTAAACAATATAGAGCTCCTTAACCGAGCCCTGTATTCATAAGCCATGTACCTATGTAAATTACAAGGCCAGACTTACATTTGAAATTTAAAGTTTCCCTCAGCATCTCAGGAAAATTTATTGGTTATCTAATGTTTATTTATTTGGTTTTTATCATATTTTAAATGAAAAGTTGAGGCATTCTCTGGAAAAGAGATTCCTGTAATCCACCCACTTTTTGTTTCAGTTGCATTGCTTGGCCGTATGATGTTCTAATAGGAGTTTTCAGTAGGGCCACAGATACCTTTTTCAGTATTATGAAATACACAGAATTATGCTACGAGGTGGTTATCAGGAACAGTGCTGTTCTCTCCAGTTGTTCCCAGTGTGAAAGATGCTTTTTAAGAGTTTAATTCATTCCTATTTTCTGCTCAGTGCAGCTTAGTTTTGGGCATTTAAGAAAAAATAAAAAACATGTATTTGACAGTGATACAGAGCACCTGTAATTGTTACTGCCAACTATAATATTTTCAGACTGTCATCACATCTCATTGGTTTGTGATCACTTGAAATATATTACTGTTTGAAGTGCTTGGATGAGATGTATTCAGCAAACAGGATTTCCAGCTCTTTGGATATTTAGAGTGCTGAAGTCCCCAAAGGAGACAACAGAAAGATCAGAGGGCCTTTCTCATACTAGAACAACACAGCAAGGACACCTTGCTGTTTAAAAAAGTAAATTATGAAAACAGGTTTAATGTAGAAACAATCTGTCCACTAGAAAAGAAAGAAAGAAAACTTGAACTGGAAGATATAACAGATAGAAATGTGGAAGTGAGATCCAGCTTTGTCTGTCTTAACAGATCTCCAGAACAGATTGAAAGGGGAGAATATAGTTTAGATGCACAAACTACAAACGCTAACCCAATGATAGCTTTAAAAAATCACAGGCACCTGGGAAATGCCTAAAATTCATACCTGACGATCAGCACGTGTACACTAACAGCATGTGAGTGTGAGTTCATACAAAGGCAGTCTGCAGATGAGCGGACTAATGCTAATTGTCTCAACGCTACAGCTTTGTAACAGAGCAAATTGTCACGTGTGTCACCGCAGAAATGGTGTAGGATGTGGGTTTAGAGCATGTCAGATGGTGTCTGCTCTGAAGTATATGCTCACTCTGTATTGAAAATACAGTTTACTTCTTTCTCAGTGAATAAATTGGTATTTCACACCTATCATGGAGAAAAATGTGTCCCTGGGCACTCTAATGGAGCAATCAAGAGGTTATATATTGCCTGTTCGTTTGACTTCTACTATCTTGTACATTATATCATAGAATCACAGTATCATTAAGGTTGGAAAAGACATCTAAAATCATCTAGTCCAACTGCCCTCTTACCACCAATACTGCCCACTAACTGTGTCCCACTAAGCCATTGCCATCAGTGCTAGAAATATATTTTTGGAGTGTAAAAGAACAAGTAAAGCAAGAACACGTAAACCAGCTTTACAAGTAAGCAAAGTAGTTCTCTCCTCTCCACATGAAAACTTTAATCCTGGCCAGTTTCAGAATTCTCACCACAAAGCCTACTGCATGCAGCCAAAGCATGCTGCGTATGGCCTGAATAACAATGAAAGTAGAAATTCAACCATTAGCAGGAGAAAAGATACAGCAACCTTTTCCCTCTATTATTAGTAGTACTTCATAGGAGCCTTGTAAAAGAAGGGGCCAGATTTGGGCCCATAAATGTATTGTTATTACTCAGATCCTTAGCTTTATTGCTACAGAATATAAATTCTCTGTTATTCATTTGCCTTCCCCCAGCGTACTCCCAGCCACAATCAGGGCTGCTGTTAAACCGTCCTGCACGCGCATCACTTTGCAGCTGTAATTGATGTGTTTATGTTATTTATCTGCCCATCTGTCTGCTGTGATTAATTGCACGCAGGCATGCGCGGAGGGCTCCAAATGTTGTATTATTATATGGCTGTCATATTTCATACAGATGGATCTGCCTGACGATGAGCCGGATCGATTAAGTAACAGAATGTTTCAGTACGACCCAGGCCGAGACAAATGGACAGAGTGTGCACCAATGAAGTACTCCAAATACCGCTTCAGCACAGCCGTGGTCAACAGTGAGATTTATGTCTTGGGTAAGAGGAAAGAGATTTTTAACAGATAGCACCCTGACTTTGTCTTTTTTCCAGCAATTTGCTTCTGTGAAGAAAAATATCTCACCCTTTGCTATGTACTGTAGGACAAATGGATGGTATTTTTTGGGATCTATTTCTTCTCCACATCATTTCTTCCTTCCTTAATGCTTGAGGATTAAAATAAGTGAATGCTTATTGTTCTGAATTAACATAAGAAAGGTACTTTTTTTTTAAACTACTTTTCTTTGGACCGCTGGTTGGGAACTATAAATAATAATAACTTTTAAATGATGAGTAGAGAAGCCCTGACAGCATCATTTCAAAGGTGAACAGTGGGAAGCTAACATGCCCCGTGCCAAGAAGGAATGGCACAAGGAAAAAAGAGAATTCGGATGTCCCAGACAAAACCAAAATGGTTTGTAGATTCTGATAAAGTTCAGTGAATCGTTCTCTTCCACCTCTCTTCCACCCAACTCAATGCAGTGCATTTTTTTTTGGAAAGCTGAATCTCTCACTCTGTTATTTTTTAAATCAAACTCAGTTTTTTCATTTCAAAACAGAAGTTTGACCAAAAGTTTTAAGAGTTTTGTGAAAAAGTTCAGCAATCTCCTATCCCCAGATCTTTCATCCCAGAATAATTCTTGGCATGTCCCCAGTTCTGCAGTTCATCCATAACGTGACTCTTCCCTAAAGCAGTTCTTTATGGCCCCTCTCCCCAAGTTAGTAGAAAGAACATCACCTGCTTTTAAACACTACTAAACAGTTCTGAAAAGCAATTCAAGAAGGGATTTTGTGGAGGGAAAATGATGGTGAAAGGCAGGAAAGGGCAGCCAGAGAAAAAAAGACATTGTGGGCACTGGCAGTGATATGGGAAAAAAAGCTGAAGGGGCATTTTGGAGAGACAATAGGAGATACAAAGTTAAATAAGCAAGTAGGAAAAGAAGTGTAAATAGATGCATTGCTGGAAAGTGCTTGAAGAACAGAGAGAGAAGTTTGTGCAATTACTCCATAGGTGAGCTGTGGGTTGTTGATGTCCTTCCATGCTTCCAAGGTCAGCAGCATTGGAAATGAAGAAGGTAACAATCACATCAGTATCCTGAAATCCCTTCTGCTTCAAACTATGGCTTACAAGCTTATCAAAGTGAACGCAATGGATGCATGACTTATGAAATCAACACTATATAAGAAGCATTCTTGTTTTGGCTCAGTAACCAAAATCCTAATGTAATTCAAAGGAAGCATTTTGCAGTGGCTGTGTTTAAGAAAGGTGTCTGTTAAGTAGAAAGGGAAAATGGCATTAACACAGCATTTGCCTTTTAGAGAAACTTCTTTCTCTTAAGATTCTGGGAGATCAGGATCTTAAGAGACAGACAGACGCACAGGGACAAGCAGGAGAAAGGAAGAAGAGCAAGAATGGAAAAGAGAGCTTCACAAACAGAAAAATATTATTGTCAAAAGTTGACAATCTGTAAACTTCAGTATGCTCTTAAATAATGAGTTGAACATTCAGGCGCATAAGAAATGAGGAAGTTCCATCCTCTGTAAGGGTTAAATATACATATTTTTAGTATTCTCAGTGTTTGTTCTGTTAGAGCAATGTAAATCTGGGGTAACTCTCAAGGAGAAGATTTTTAGGAAGTTTGTGCAACTTTACCATTGTGTATGTGAACCTGCCTCTGTCTTGATGCCACGTCCCCTGCAAGGTGTGACTGCAGCAAATGCAGACACAAATGAGGTAACATCAGGCAGCACAAATGCAGAGAAAACATTTTGACATAGGTCTGGGCTGTTTTCACAAACTCCTGTTTGCCTATTTCCTCTTATTTTGTGAGGAAATAACAACTTGTGAGGGCTCTAATGTTAATAAATCTGTAAAATTTGGCTGACACTGACCAATGGAGTCAAAAGCTGTGAGAGGAAGACAAACTAATGTAAGCAGAGAGAACACCCCTGCTGTGGGTAATTGCATATGCCTTGTTTTCTTAGGAAATCAAATAATTTTGCAGCTCTTTTTTTTTGAAAAATTGAAAAATAAACCTTACACGGAGCCAAAAATGTTTTCTCATCAAATTCTCCCCTTGGATATGCAGATTTGAATCCACATTTTCTCTTTTGGTGGAAGTGAACATTTTTCTCCTAAAGTTAAGAAGACAATGTGGATGGCAAATGCTAGCTGTCATAGTCTGAAAACTGTAGAGTAGTCTGAAAAATTTTCCAAGACCTCTAAAAATGATGAAGCATCTTCCCATAGAATTCTGTCTGGAAGATGTCACTGATACTGACATCTTATTCTGCTGCTATTGCACACAGTCTCTGCCCCAGATGTAAACTTGCATGGCAAAAACCTGGCACAGAAAAGTTTCAGTTCAAGGTTCATTCATGGTGACAAAGGCTTGCTAGCTTGTAAATCCTCAGACTGTTGTGCTGAGAAGTGGGTATAGTTTTCCTTTGGAAACTATTGCCATCGTATACCCAGCTGGGTATGTGTAGCACCAAAAGGAATACAGTGAAAGCATTCTAAATCTGGCTGATGTGGCACACTTCTGTGCCATTCAGGAGAGGATGGGAGTGGAAGGATTGAGGTTGGCACTGACAGACCAAAGAATACCAATTGCCATGAGGATGGTAAGACCATTGCAGGCTGTTCAAAGTTGTGAATCCCTTAGACATCACTGTGTCTTAATAGTGTTACATATCATAAGAATCTAAAGAGATGCTGCCAAGGGCAATTTGTTCAAAGAGATATGTTCTGAAGAGTATCACAGCCTGTAGATTGTCCTCATGTAGTGAGTTCAGAGACATGTGCTCAGACATAATAGTTAAGCTTTTATTCTACACATCAGCAAGACTTTTGTAGACTTTCTACCCTTGCCTTTTATACAGCTTCTCATTCAAAATGGGGATTTCTGATGGTGAAGTGTGTGCACAGAACCTGAACATCTAACAGGCTCCCACATAGCCCCAGTGTGTGGGACATTCATTGAAGGGACAGCTGAGAAGCATGCACCACTGCAAAACTTGCATTCCCACAAGCACTCCCCACTTCTCACGTAAGATTTGTTGTAATGCACAGCTTTTAGCTGGGTGCATAAAGTCATCCTGCAGGTAGACGTGAGTTAGGATAAAGAGGTAATGGCCTCAAGTTGCACCAAGAGGTTCAGGTTGGATATTAGGAAAAATTTCTTCTCAGAAAGAGTGGTATTGGCACAGGCTGCACAGGGAGTGATGGAGTCACCATCCCTGGAGGTGATTCAAGAACTGTGGAGATGTGGCACTGAGGGATGTGATTATGGGCATGGTGGGGGTGGGCTGGGGCTGGACTTGGTGATCTTGGTGGTCTTTTCCAACCTTAATGATTCTAAGATTCTGTGTCTTCTTTCAAGCAGATATTTTTAAATGATGTATGTTTGTCAGTTCTTTCAGGTAGGATCTCTGTTTTCCCATAAAGTTTGTACAGGTCTCAGCACATTCAGGATTAAGCATAAATAAAAAATCACCTCACAAAGCATTAATCCTCTCTAATATCTCTGATGTATGAATCCAAGTTCTATCATAAATGTGAAGCAAAAAGCATAGATGGAAGCTAGTTTTGAATGAGAAAAAGTGACAGCCTCCTTGATGTGAGTGTACTTTCTGCTGTGATCCATGCAGGTGTACACCTGTAGTAAGTAGTCTTTTGATTTCAATACTGTTGTGTTAGACTCATTTTGTTCTAACCACTCAGCATCTGATGCTTATCTATTGAAGTGTTACGTTTTGAAAAGTCCTGTTGGCACAGAACGTAAAGTACACAGTCACTGTCCAAAAACCCTTCCCAGCCTAATTGCCAGTGCCAGTGTGTAAAACCCTACTGATTTAATGGAATCATTCCAGAGTCACACTTCTGGGAGGAAAATGAGAAATTGATTAGAGTTTTTTTGTCTGAATAACAGCTCTGTGCAGGAATTTGTACCACGTGTCTTAATCAGCAGTCCTGCAATGTAATTGTTGTGTAATATTCCTAGAGAATCCTATGCTATTTATACAGCGTGCATAAACCTCAAAAGAAAATGAACGGCATTTCCTAAGGCTTAAAATCCTTTCTCCTTTTCATCCCATTTGACTGTCTTAGCTCTTTCTCTCCATATTTTCCCAGGAACATAACTATATTCATTGGAAAGCCCAAGAAAGAGCAGTATTGTGTTCTTAATGACAGAGGCAATTGAGATACTTTTGGAAGAAAACCAGAGGGGAGGGCTCTATTTAAGGTCATGCATCTTAATCTCTTGCTTAAAAAAAATATCCTTTGCAGCTAAGACTCTGAAAACTCATTGCAGCCAATGGATAAATTAGCAAGATTTATCCAAATGAACCATTTGAATGCTGTATTCATTAGCTTATAATGAAACGCATTCTGCATAACTGCTGTCTCTGAAATACAGGTCACTGATAAAAATATTGAACCACCACGGCAGCCTTAACCATGTGTTGCTTTTACGTTATGTAATTCCTGCTTTAAAAATAAGAACATATAGAAGGACTTAAACGGGAAATCCTATTAGTGAAGATTTAGGAATCAAAGAATTTTTGTTTATCCTCTTTAGCCTGGCATCCCACCTATTTAAAACTTGTTTGGTGTTTTTTCCCCAAGTTCTTGCCAAGAGCTTCTCTTAAAAGTTTTAAGCAATTAAATGAAAGTCTCGGTCATAAAATACTTATTTGAATATGCATTTTGGGGTCTCCTTGGAAGGGAAAGCTTGTGTAGGAGGGAATGGAAGGAGACATTTTAGCTTTCAGGTTTGAGTATTAGCCATGAATTTGAATAACACCTTCTTGTAAAATAAATGTGCCTATTTTTAGATATGCTTTGGACTTCTGACAAGCAGCAGATTATGGGCCTGATTCTGCTCTGCTGTACCTGTGCCTCAGTCTCTGTGGTGCCTGTGTGCAGGAAGGGATGAAAAAGGCAAAATTTGATTTGATATAAGAGATCAGAAATGCTCCCCACTCACTTAAGAATTATTAAAGGAAACAAGCACAAGGCAGTATGGGAGAAAAGAAGGAGCTAAAACTGAAATGTTCTCTGTACTGAAGAAGACAATTGCCTGGTGGGTTTTTTTTTTCAGCTATGCTTCTAATCAGTCTTCTGCCCCTGTGCCTTTTACAAACTGCATTACGTCATCTGCTTTGCTCTGTGTTAGTAAAGAATGACAGCACTTCTCATCTCTGGAAGTGCCTGCCAGGAATGGCTTTATAGCTCCCTCATTTCTCCAGGAATCCAGTTACGCAGACTTGCTTCTTGAGAGAGTGAGCGAGCAATGGAAGCGCTGAGACTCTCAGCTTGAGTGCTGTTAAAGAGTAATGAAGGGAAATGTTACATGAGAGATTCGTGCTATTAAGCCCATTGTGCGTTCCAGAGATCAATTTAATAGTGAATTATTTTACGGGAGGCAAAGGAGAGCATGAGTTTAGATTTCACTTGCGTGTTGGAGAATTACTCGTTTTTTTTTTTCCAATCAAGTCACAGAAACGATAGTAAGAAAAAATATTGCTCTGCATTATGATCTGAGTATTTAATTATATGGCAAAGAATCCCAGTAACAGTGCCCTGATCTCAATCACCCTGACCAGCCTCACCTGGGGCCTCCACCCACACCCTCTGCCCGTCGGTCCATGGGCACTATTTAAGCACAGGGCTGAGAAGTCATTAAATTTTCATCCTCTTCTTTTTGCCTGATGACTTCTGAGCTGTTGGTGGACCCTTTGCAGTTGCCTGCTTGTGCATCTATGCCCCAATGGTGAGCTCACTGTGTTGCCTGGGACAAGCTTCCCTTTGGGAGTAGCTCTGAATGTTTCTCTGATACGCTGCTGTCGCTGAGGGATGTGGGTCATGCCTAATTTAAGCTGTCTGTAAGCAGGGGAACCAAATAAATTTTAATGTTCAGTTCCTAGCACCCAAACCCTAAGGGCAGTGAGGCACTGGCAAAGGCTGCCCAGAGAAGTGGTGGGTGCCCTGACCCTGGGAACACCCAAGATCAGGCTGGATGGGTTCTTAGCACCTGATGGAACTGTAGGTGTCCCTGTTCATTGCAGGGGTATTGGATTAGATAGCCTTCAAGGGTACCTTCCAACTCAAACAATTCTATGCATGTTCATATATGAAGTACTGATTTACTTTGCATCTGCTGAACTTATTTTTGCTAGTGACTACCACCTCACAGCTCTTATAGGTGTTCTTCCTTATGCACTGAGAGGGTGTTCTGTTATTAGAAGTGATGTGATGCAAATTGTATTCAGCCTTCTCAAATGAGACTGGGGCAAGAAGGAGGCAGCTGACATTAAGCAAAGCAAAATTATCTGCCTTCAGCCGGCTACAGACAGTGTGTGGATACAGCAAGGCACAGGATGGTACTTCATTGAAATGCTGAGGATGTGCTAATCACATCACCTACCTCTGCTTTGCCTTCTTATATCAAAGGCTTGTCTTTTCTATCCTGATTTCTTTATAAAGATCATGTATATTTCCATATTATTTATTTTACTAACGGAGCTTCATGTTAAATTTAAAGTCTATTAGAACCACTTCTTACAGAGTGCCCTTGAAAGTATGTGTGGTTGCAGAATCATCCAAGCATGATATGGAAAGCACTCAAGCATTAATGGGTTTGGGAACACAAAGGTGACATCACTGGCTTTTTTTAGTCCTTCAGTGGCATCTGAAATATCTCCTAGGGAAAGCCAATAATGTAAAAAGCCTAATGTGTTGAAAGGGTGTATTTGTAACTGGTGGGTTGGGGAATGGCTGAGTTCTAGGATTAAATCCTCTTGTGTGATGAATGTGAAAATGACAGAAGTGTTTGAAACTCCTGGTGAGAAAACCACCTCTCCCTGCACAAAGGACGCATAATTGGGCTTTACATAGGGAACTAAGCCAGGTGGCATTGAATTCCCCTACTCTTTGACAAGAGGGATGTGTGTGGGTTACTGGCCAACCCTCTCCAGCATCTAACACAGTCCTTACCCATGGAAATAGCAATTGCTGCCCTTCAGCACACCTGTTGGGGCTCCCAGGAGGTTGTGACCATGGCATGCAAATTGTAATGACCCTATTTATAGCTCTGTGTGGTTTACAGTACAATAATACAATTGCAAATACACAGAAATGACCCTTTCTTTACTATGTGCTGCTGGTGGGGCACTTAGAATCACTGAATCATTAAGGTTGAAAAAGACCTCTAAGATCATAAAGTTCAACCATCCACCTGCCACCAATATTGCCCTCTAAACCACATCCCTCCGTGCCACATCGACATGTGTCTCAAACACCTCTGCTTGGCATAGTCTCTCCCAAATGATCTACAGCCCTGTGCCCTTCTACTGCTCTGCCTTGACCTCCTAGGGGCACCTCTGTTCTGCATAGAGGCCTCTATAGGAACAAAGCATCAACTCATTTGCTCAGCTTTTGCACTCAGAGAGCACAAAACAGACAACCTTCTTGATCTTAACTGCAATTCCGTATGTCTCTGCTTGCATTCCTAATGGTTTAATAAATCTCTGCAAAGAAGGCAATGGGACAGGATGAGTTCTGGGTTCTGTGAGTGGCTGAGCACAAAGTAGCATGAATTGCCTGACACAGCAAGCTTATTTTTTCTGCCAATTTCGAGTCTTGTGTGATGTACACATTGTAGGTGATGGATGGTTTGTTTAGTGAGATGCCTCCACTTGGTTCCAGATGTGATTTGATTTCACTTTGAGAAATTTTCTGGCTGATTTGTGTATTCATCCTTTTGGGAAGAGGCCTGAGAAGTTGGTCTCCATGGAGGAAAAAGTATTGTCTTGCAGGAGCATTTCTGAACTACCGTATGTGGGAACAAGGCAAAGCAATGCTGGTAGAATCTAATATCCTTGCATTCCTTTGTTAGCAATATTCCAGTGTTAGCATTGTTTTAAAAGAGGAGATTGGAATTGTCTGTGAGTTTGATTTCTTGTTTTTCAGAATACCATTTTTTTAAAGCTTAAAAATTAGTCTTCCCTCTGATTTTCCTTCTCATTTTCTCTTTGCTGAGAACTTAGCTTTGCCTTTGTTGTAAATTGAACTTGAAATTGGATTTAACTGGAATGGCTGTTGAGAGTGAAAATAAGTTGGAGATATCTCATAGCTTCAGGACTGTCCGACTGCGACAGGATTAAATGAGGTCAAATTTAAATTGCCTAAATTATCCAATGAAGGTTTTGTAAATGTTTGAGAATGCGGTAGCTCTTAAACTTTTGAAAAGATCTCCAATAGGCAACTAAAGATTACTTCTCTAATAATTGTACAGGGAAAATGCTTGGGGCTCGTCCCCTGGGCTGGCAGCTGAGTGTCTTCATTAACTAGTAATGGTGGTGATTTTTTTGCAAAAGGCACCGACTGCGCTGTACCTCATTATTTCTTATTTCTGAAGCTGTCGTGCCCCACGGTTACTGAACTTGGCAATGGCAATGACAGTAAAAATACACTAAGAAATAAGCAAATAGCAACTAGGCTTATAGAAAATGTTCTGGGGGCATTTTAAGCACTGGCCTACATGAAATATTGAGGCAATCAAAAAAGCTATTCAGTTATTTGAGTCTGATATGCCACATGCATGCCTTAACTGGTACCATCCATTCCTCTGCACAGCACCCTTTTTCATTCCTCAAACGAAGACTATTCCTTATGGATACGTGCCTGTTCTTCAGTGCAGAACTCAAGTACCACTTGAGCAATTTTAAAAGAGCTTGGTAACCTGCAGCAGTCTCTTTGGCATAGCTGTCTCCTGAGCAGATTGAATCAGTCTATTGGGAGCTTTAATATTATTTGCTCCCAATGAAAACTCCCTTAACTATCTTTCTGCTGCGCTCCACAGACTGTTCTTGCCCTGGTATCAAGTTGCCCTATGCTCTGATTTTAAGGATACTACAGAATCAGAAAGTGGTAAGCTATCAACTAAATAGCTTTATCTAAAGTAGAAGTTATCTGAGTACTCCTTGAAGCTTTTCTTGATAAATTTAGAAGAATGGCATCCTGTCCCATCCAATGCAAGTTAATTCTTTGCTAACTTCTTTATTGAATTCTACGCTGAGCATTGGACAGGTGTCTTGAAACTTCCAACAAGGTTAGAAATGTTTTCCTGAGTATTAGGGCTTTCAACTCACCAAGCTTTAGTAATTAATTTTTGCTGATAGCTGAACAAAGTAATTACCTACCAAATGGAGGCACTGACATTGGGTGTTGAGGTAACCATGATATGTACATAGAAGTGCTTGAGAAATTAAAAATTGAATCAAACACTGGAAGTTCAGCTGGAGGAAAACTTCAAGTTGAAGTTAATGGATGCTGAATTTAGTTCTCAGTTTGTTGCTCTCATGGGACATAAATTCAAGTAAGGATATTTATCTTGTCCTTACTTGAATCTAAAATACAGATCAGGAAAATGGTGGTGGCCAATTTGGAGTACTGTGATCAACAGTTACGTGTTCTCTTGCAAATATCTTCAGATAGTGCTGAAAAGATTGGAAGAGATAGTACAGTCTATATGAAGAGGTAAATGGAACTCCATATGCAAATAAAACGTTGAGAACTAGGGGCTCATTTCTCTGATAGACCAGCTTAGCACAGGTTTGTAAAACTGGGATCTGTTTCAGTCCCACAAAAGGAATTAACCCTCCCCTAATTAACTCTAATTAACCCTCCAGCAGTGGAGCTTGTCACAAATAACTCAGTTGATACTCTGCATACAGTATGGTTTTCTCTCTTTTGCTTAAGAGATGGGTATAACCTTCCTTTCATTTAGGAAGACAAACCCAAATGACTGTTGGTTAGCAAGTGAAATTCATGTGCACTAACAGTAACTGGGAAATAATTTTGCATCCACTGCAACTTAATGATAAAGTCCAGCACACGAAACATAATCATGACAATTTATACCACAAATGAAGAAAACAAGACAAAATACCTTTGTGTTTTGAAGACATGTTTCTTGTCCTTCCTTTGTTACAAGCCCTCAGAAAGGATTGTGCCGGATTTCTGCAAGTAATGGGTTGTGTCCTGCTTTGAGTTCACTTTCTAGTGAACTCTCCCAGCTGCAAAATGAAAAGGAACAGGAGGTACATGAAGACATGTAAACAAAACAAAAAAAAAGATGCAACCAGCAATGTATTTTCCTGCAGAACCTGGGGCTGCTACATTTGACCTACGTGTCCTTTTTCCATAGGAGGAATTGGGTGCCTTGGCCGCGACAGGGGGCAGACACGGAAATGTCTTGATGCAGTGGAGATTTATAACCCTGATGGAGACTTCTGGAGGGACGGACCTCCTATGCCTTCCCCTCTCCTCTCCTTGCGAACAAACTCTACCTGTGCAGGCTGCGTGGAAGGCAAGCTGTACCTCTGCGGAGGGTTTCACGGAGCAGGTACTCAAATGAGTCTGAAATTCTTTGCCCAGTTGAAATCATTTACCCTGTACGCAGGCTGAATAACCCTGTTGGTGGCACTGGCGTGCCCTGGAACCACAGAGCTGAATGAGTCCTTTGGACTGCTGACTACTAATGTCAATATGCATTGTGTTCTGTTTGTCCTCTCGTGCTTTTTCCTTATCAAAGCACGAAAAATTAAGGATGTTTCTGATCAGCACTGAACCTTTTCAAAACTATGAACTCAGCAGAATTCTTCTGGATTTACATTCAGAGCCGTTAAGATCAGAATCTCAGTGTATGTTATAGATGTTAAAGAACTTGAGCGTATCTGTTGGAGACTAAGGCATTATTGATCTGTGGTAGCTGGCTCTATTTACTTACATGCTTTTCATTTTCAGTGCTGGAAAACCTTGTGCATTTAATCAGTAACCTAGGTTGGGAGCTGAGGTACTAAAATCCCAGATCTGCTGATTTCTAATCCCAGCATCACGACCACCTTTCTCCCTTCATTTTCCTAATGCTTAAATCCCAATATTGCTAAGCATTATATTCTAATTATAAATGCAGAGAGCCTCTCAACACATGCACACTTACTTACTTACTACTATGAAGCAGCTGCTACCCCTATTTCCTTTCTGAGTGATGGCAGAAAATGCAGATAATGCAGAAATGCATTATGCACTACTAATACATGTCATGTCAGGCTCACTGCTGCCCAGGAATGTTCACGTGGTGTCACTGGGAGATGTGTCCTCCACATGATTACTGACTACGGCTGTGTTGGTTTTTAGTTGCATTACAAACTCTGTGGTTGCTCTATTTTTAAAGTGATTGCCACGTCTTAGTTCACAGCTCACCTCCCCTTTGTTTGCTGCTGCTTGAAGAGGCTGCTTCCTGAAAACAGTTGTACGGCAGCTCACTAACAGGCATGCATTTATGTCATCTCTGATGGAAATTCTGCAACCTCAGAACTATTATGATTATGATGCATCATAGCATCATAATGTTTGCATTTCCATAGCAAACACAGTGTCATCATATCTGTCTTTTTCCTCAGCAGTGTAAGGAAAAAGCCTATTCAGTCGGTGGGTTTACATCTCAAAAGGCTGATCATCTTTTTGGAAAATGAAGCAATTTCATTCAAGATGACTAACAGATTAGTATGAAATTTTCTGAATAAGATAGCTTCAGAGCCATGAAAGTGCTCTTTACAGTACCACCATGTTCTGTCTCTGAGTTTCATGTTAAGAATGGTAGTTGTGGGAGAGGTGGGAAGTTTCCATGTGGGTTTCAAGCCTGGCCATCTTCTGTATGTATGTACAATGCCTGCTCTATGGGGTCCTGACTCCTGGCTGTGTTATTGTGGTCCATATTATGATTGTGCATTTGAGCTCCACTGCCCTAAAAGTACTATGTTTAGATTAGAAAGCAATAAGTTGGAGTTAGGAAATGTCAACTTTGCTGTTACCTGTGCAACCTGAGTTCTGACCCCCCTATGCATGCATTTTGTATGCCAGTGCAGAAATAGTGATTGTGGTGTTAGACACTGTGATGTCTTTTAACAAGGCAGCCAAAATGAGATTCTTACTGTTAGCTATAAATCTGATATATCCAAATGCCTGAGGAGCTGAGAGGAAGCTGTGCCTTAAAGATAGGCTTCTTAATGTGACCCTCAATTTATTAAAGGAAAAGGGTTGTTTAAATCTTCATAACAATAGCTTCTAGTTACTACCATCAAGGAGTAGATGTCTGGAGTCCATGTGCTGAACCTGAAGGTTATCTAGCTGGCTTCTTTCCCTGTCCCTGTCTCTCTACATGCTGGAAGGTGTATTGTTCTTTAGGGGTGAAGGCTGCAGCAAGGGACAGAAGGTTATTACTGTTGTGTGGGAACTTGGAGAGTGGCTTGACTTTTTCACAATTACAGCTGCTCAGCAGATTCAGGATATTCCCAGAACAGCATGTGCTGCTGCTGCTGCTTCGGTAGCAGATAGGGTTATTTTAGAATGTGCTTGTTTGGTTTTAGTCTTTTGGGTTTCTTGGCATGCAACTTCAGTTTTTGTGAGGGATGCAACCAAGAGAGGATACTCCAATTTTACCAAACATTGTAATTTAGTTTCAACCAAGTGGAGTTCTTGGAACAAGCTGGAGGCACAGCTGTAGGCTCTGTTTGCTGCCTGCTGAACTCTAAAAGGCTGCTGTGAACACTTGAGTACAAGTGCTTCTCAAAAAAAAGCAAACAAGCCCAAGATACTGCTGTGCTGGAAAGTCTTTGCCAGTGTATATAAGCAGCTGTGTATAGGGACCCTCTATATACTGGATATCTGTCTCCAGCTCCCTCAATTTCCCTTTGCGTTCATTTAACCTCACTCTTAATCCAACAATGTAAAAGGTGGTCTAATAAGGATGTTATTCATCTTAATTTTACTTGTGTGTGGACCATGCTCTGTGTGCCTTCCTGTCTGAGCTTAGACCTGAATGGTTAATTAGAGGCCGGAGATACGATAATCAAACACAACACTGAGAAATAGCTGCCAGGTGCCCAAAGGGTCTTAATTTTGGATGCAAAGACAAGATGCTGCCCTTTTGAGATTGTTCTGTATGACACTCCTTGAAGCTTTGTGATGGCAGGAATTGCATCCCACTTGTATTGCCTACCAAATCTTTGCTTGGAGGAGAAGTGGAGTAGCACTAACAGCATCCCCAGGAGCAGAGGAAGAGAAAGCAGAAATTCAGACTTAGCTGGGGTGCCTACATGAAGACCTTAGTGACTCCCATGCAGCCTAGGGAGAAGCACAGACACTTCTAGAGGGACATTCATGTCCTTGCTGCTTTAAGTCTGCTCTGAAAGACCAGAAGGCAATTCGGAACCCTGAGAACCTCTTGTCTCTTAATGCTTCATGTTTTTATCAGGATGTGAGCAACTCAGAGTTGGCTTACCTAAGGCAAATTTGTTGGGATCCTGGCATTTATGATTAGATAGAACAAACCACTCTGAGACCTGTGTTGGAAACACCTAGAATCATTAAGATTGGAAAAGACCTCTAAGATCATCCAGTCCAACTGTCCACCTATCACCAATGTTGCCCACTGACCATGTCTCTCAGTGCCACATCTCCATGGTTCTTGATCACCCCAGGGATGGTGACCCCACGCTCCCTGGGCAGTCCATCCCTATGCCTGACCACTCTTTTGGAGAATAAGTTTTCCCAGCATCCAACTTCTGCTTGCTTTGAATTCAAATTCCAGTTTCCTGCTTTAGCCATACATCATCCATTAGCCCATTGTTGATATAAATTGGTTCGTTTTCTACTAAAACCACTGTGACAAATAAGAACCAATAATCTGCACATCTCTGACACTCGACTCCAGCTCACGTAGCTGAGTGGCATGAGTGTTTGCCTGCCTTTTGTTAGCAATGTTGTAGCACTCTGCAAGAGATTCAGAAATGTTTAAAATCATTGGGTTTATCCACTGGTTTGTAGTTCTACAGAGTGAAAATGATAGTCACAGTATGAATATTCAGAAGGACCCAGTGTGCAGCAGCCAGCCAGCCTGCCACTAATTGCTAAAATATGTTGCTGCATTTACTGCTGTAGCTATGGATTTTAAAGCAGCCTTTGCAGATTGAGCATACAGTGTTCTTGTTGACGCATCTTATTTCCTTTGCCTTTACATAGCTCTAAAACCTGACACCTGCACAGGTTGGCAGCTATTAATGTGCAGCTGGGCATGGTGGGAGCAGACACATTAGTGCTCCTTGTTGGAGGAGGGGTGAGCAGCTCTGCAGGTAGGCAGCAAGTGCTACACACAAATAAACGCCTGCCACGTTGTATTCTCTTTCCCTTTGACTGCTTCTAAATATTACAAATATTTTTTTTCGCGGTGAAAATAATGAAGGCAAGTGTGTGTTTGCTGGGATTGCTATCAGCTCATGGAGGCACATACTCACTGACATTGTGCTGTAGCCTCAAAGACATCTCACAGCATGTCTCTGGGGGCTGGGGCTGTGGGAACAATCGGCGGGGCTCTGTTTTCTTGATCATAGCTTTTGACTATAGATGCTGGTCCAACTGTCTGCCTCAGATTTGAACTAAATTCTATCATATTTAAACTTGATTGTAATTAGAATGCTGTTGTTTGTCTACACCCATGTGGCATCAGCTGGTGCGCAAAGCCAAGGGACAACCACCTCAATTCAAATAAGATGCTTTATAGGTCTGCTGGTTGTGGCTCATGCCACTTAAAACGCCTTGTGATTTTATCAGCCATTGCATTTGATGTGGAACTGCCTTTCTCTGAACTGGCTGTTCTGCCATCTTTCTCCAACACGGTTCATAGAGAAGATAACATTTGCTGCTTCCCTACTCTATATGTTAAAATTCTGTGTGGGGCCAGAGCAGCTCAGCCCAGATCTGCTATTTACTTATCACTGCTATCAAACAGTAATTCATTTTTTCACTCCAGGAGTATTACTGGCAGTGGGAGGAAAAGGGGAAGAGATGCCTCTGGACCAGGAGCACAAGAATCTCAATTTTGTCTGCAGCTGTTAGATAGGTGATATGGTAACAGCCTGCTAGCTGTGTAACTCTGATTCTACAAAAAAGAAAAAAAAAAAAAGAAAAAAAAAGTATGCTTACCCCAGGTGTGCTTTCTGGCCTCTTCCTCCCTATTTACATAAATTGCAATCCATGTGCTGGAATAGCAGCAGCACTGCTTGCGGCAGTGCAGAGCCGGGTCGTAATTACTGTATTCCAGCTGAGCTAATGAGTTTGCATCTCCATGCCACCCTCTCCTGACAGTGGACTAGCTTAATAGTTATTTATTTTGACTAATCTCCCATAAAGGCTGTTCCCCTCAGCCTCATCCATTATGTGATTTAGATGGGGAATCGTCGTAATGCCTGTTTTTTCTTTTATTATAGTGGTTATGGTACATTACTGGAATCAAATTAAATCTAGACATTAAGAAGTCTGGCACAGTAAATACTAGACTTGTGAAGTTTGGGGGATGAGGGATTGGAAGGAAAGCTGTTTCTCCAGCACCTTCGCATGTTCCCAGCTAAATAAAGCAGAGGGGCAAACCCTGGGCTGCTGATCTGCAGCACTGCTTGCTTCCCTCGGTTAGAATTTACCAGGCAGTGATGAATAATTAAAGTTCTCCTGCCCACAGTTGTTACCATTTACATATGCATCCCCACCCATGAAATGGATTTGGGGTCCCTGTGTTTCGCTCAGCAAAGAAATCTGACACACCACTGCTGCTTCTCTATGGGTCTGCTCTGAAAAATGCCACTTGAATTCTGTCCGTTCTCTGAAGGGCTGCTCTGACACCTCTCCGGGGTGCTCCTTGCAGCCCTGTGCTCATTAGCTAGAATCTCACTGTGGTAAATAAGGCCAGTGCAGGTCAGGGAATCGCTGGTGAGCAGCACCTGCTTGTTTCAGATCTAAATTCAGCCCGCTGCCTAACCGTATTAGGAATTTGGTTGTGCTCCTTGCAAAGGCTCGTTTATAGCTTATAAAGTGTTAATAAATGATTAATTGACATTTTAATGCATCTTAATTAATTGCTAAAGAGGTCAATAGGTTGTTTAGAAACATGGCTTACAGCCATGTATGACATCTTCCATTGTGTTCATAACTGCCTGTCATGCATACAGTCTAAACATGCTTTATATCACCGATTAATAATGTATTAGCCCATCACAAAGCATTTAGAAACAGTATCTCAATATAGTCAGAGGCCAGTGATTCTTATTCTGATCTCCCAGCTTTTATTCCCATGAATGGTGCATTGACTCCAGGAGCACTGATCCTGCTCTGCTGTGACCCGCCATCCTGCCC